AGCATTTGATAACATAATAAGTCATGCAACCTTTCTTTCTTTCCTCATCTGGAGGGTGAAGGAACAGCACCCTGTTGATGGTGATGGAGTAGCATTGGAGAACTGGTACCCAGCACTCTGGTCCACGTGGCACAGCCAGGGAGGGCAGCAAGCAGCATCAGCCTGCTGCATGTTTCTTGACTTGGGTGGCAGAACATCCTAGACCTCAAGTGAAATTCCCCCAAGGGAACGCACTTTCCCGGTCTTGTTTTCCTGAAGCAGCTGTCCATCTGTGGGCTTGTCATTCTGCGTTCAGTGTCAGTATTCCTCTGAGGGCAGCAGAGATGGTTCTCCATCCTGGGATATGAAATGAGATCACAGGCTTTGAGTTCCCTGCAACATTGCCCCCACAAACCACATCATTATTGCTCTGATCTCAGCAGTTCACACTTGTCTGACACTACATAATTTTCCCCCAAGAAGGGAGATGGTGTGGGCAGATCAGCTAATAGCATAGCCTGGTACCAGTGGGGCAGGCATGGCCTTCTCATGCATTTGCATCTGGTATGTTTCCATTATTATTGGTGCTGACTCTGGTGAAAATAGGTCTTTGAAATGTATACAGACGTACAGGGGGACTGCTGTGATGAAAAGCATCCATTGCAAAGTGGGCAAAGCTGGTAAAGTCAATCAAAGTAAGCAGGGCGAGGACTTTCTTTTCCAGCCGTGTGTATTACTGAGTAACTACTCTAAGGCACCACCACAGCACTTGGTGCTGTGAGGATATAGGAGGAGCAGGGCAGCTCTTACCCTCGAGGGCCCTGGGGGGTCCCCTTGAATGTCAGATGTTTGTGGAGTAGGCAGCAGACGTAAGAAGTCACCAGGTGCTGACTGCACGCGGCGCCCACATGGGAGGGCCCTGGAGGCCGAGGCCCTGCACACAGGAGATTCAGCTCCTGATCTTAGAGGCGTTAGACCCCAACTCCTACCACCATTGGCAAAGCCATGGCTGGAAGCCCAGGCCAGGGCTCCCTTTTGTCTCACGGGTCCCTGCAGTGCTGGCCTCTGCTGCTGCCCTGCGTGCCCCTCCCTGTGTGTCCCTCGCTCCCCTTAGCATGGCTCCTCTTCCTCCTCACACGGGAGCAGGGCGTTGACATAATTTGCAGTTTCTGCTTTGGGAGTCTAGAACAAAGCAGGCCTTTTGAGTGACCTCCTAGAAATGGATTCTTGGTTTTTCTTGACATTTTGAGATTCAGGCTCTGGTAACTTGGTTTAAGTTTCCTCTGCTGCTGCCCTGCGTGTCCCTCCTTGCGTGTCCCTCCGCTCCCCTTAGTTTCCTCTGCTGCTGCCCTGCGTGTCCCTTCCTGCGTGTCCCTCCGCTCCCCTTAGTTTCCTCTGCTGCTGCCCTGAGTGTCCCTCCGCTCCCCTTAGTTTCCTCTGCTGCTGCCCTGCGTGTCCCTCCGCTCCCCTTAGTTTCCTCTGCTGCTGCCCTGCGTGTCCCTCCCTGCGTGTCCCTCCGCTCCCCTTAGTTTACTCTGCTGCTGCCCTGCGTGTCCCTCCCTGCGTGCCCCTCCGCTCCCCTTAGTTTCCTCTGTGCCTTTCCACACTCCAGATTGTGACTCCATCTGTGTTGCAGACGCCCCTTCTTAGTATCTCTCTGTAGCCTCAACATTTCTAAACCAAGCTCTACTTTATTTCCTAGTGCTGCTCCTTACACTTCGCAAACGTTGGTCTAAGATTTCTCCTCGGCGCATGTCACACCTGTCTTAGGAGTGCTGGAGTCAGGCACCTGCGTGCCACCTCGTCACTCCCCTGCCTGCAGCACCAGCCCTCCGAGCCCTGCCCTGTCTTCTCGCTGCCTCTCGCCATCTCCTGGGCTGCATCACCACTTGGCCTCATGGTCTCTCTATTGTCCCTTTGAGGTCTGCTGCCACCCCATAGCCAACAAGATGTTTCTAGGACGCAAATCTCAGTCTATCCTGCCGCGTCTGTGACTTCCCATAGAAGGCCTTCTCCTTGTTACCTCCGTCTGGAACACCCCTTCTCCCCTTGTCTTCCCCAGGTGCCACCTTCATGCACAGCTTTCCCAGTTTCCCCACACCATGGGGGTCCCCGCATGCTGTGGCATTGTGCCATCAGGTGCTTACACAAGCCTGACCTCACCTGCATCTATAAGGACTACTTTCTTACTATCAGGCGAAGGCCTTGGGGCCAGGTAGGGAGGGGCACATGGGATGAGATAAGCCCTGCAGACCTGCAGGTCCTGCCTGGGCAGTTTCTGAAGCCAGTGACTCCCCTCAGCTGGATGGCAGGGATTTATCACCAAACATGTTCTCAGAGGAATGGCCCATAGTTGGTCGTTTTACTTGACCTTTGGCTGTTCAGTTGGAAGAAAGGAGATGGTATGGTGGAGACCACGGACTGCAGCACCCAGGGGCTTGGATCCAGCCTCTCTGTCATACTTTGAGCACCTTGGCTTCCTCACTCCTAAGATAGGGGGCCAGTGGCACTGCAGGGTGTGCATGGCTCCTCCTCCTCCTCACACGGGAGCAGGGCGTTGACATAATTTGCAGTTTCTGCTTTGGGAGTCTAGAACAAAGCAGGCCTTTTGAGTGACCTCCTAGAAATGGATTCTTGGTTTTTCTTTGAGATTCAGGCTCTGGTAACTTGGTTTAAGTTGTTCGGGTCATCCCCGTTCTGACTTACAGAAAGGGCCAGGTTGAGCTTCTTACCAGATGTGTAACCTGTACAAATTGCTTGACCTGCCTTGTCCTGTGCGTCCTTGCTGTAGATAGGATTTATAAAATGCCAGGGTGAGCAGTAGGCGACACATGCAGCACAGCACAGCCTTCCCTGGCCTGTTGCTTTGCTGTGCTCCAGTGATGTGGGTGGAACATCATCACCTGCGTTCGTTTTAATGACGGGTATGGTTGGGAGGAGGAAGGGAGGTGGAGGAATATTATAAATGGGCTAATCAGTCTCATTTTCAGGAAGAAAAAAATGTTTATTTTCTGAAAAAGCATTGATGATTGACCCAAAAATACTGATTCAGTGAACACCTCAGAAGATGAGCGAGAGATGCCAGACCCTTACTTAAATGCAAGGTTAGATGATTAGCTCCGTTAGCCAGGATATGTAGGAGGCTAAAAAAAAGTTACAAGCAAGCTGCATAATACAAAAATAATACTTTAATTAAAACTCTATGTTGTGGCTTGGCACCTATAGCACAGTGGTTGCAACACTGGCCACATACACTCAGGCTGGAGGGTTCAAACCCAGCCTGGGCCTGCTAAACAACAATGACAACTGGGGAAAAAAAAATAGCTGGGCGTTGTGGTGCCAGTGGTCCCAGCTACTTGGGAGGCCGAGGCAGGAGAATCGCTTAAGCCCAAGAGTTTGAGGTTGCCATGAGCTGTGACTTCAGGGTACTGGACTGAGGGTGACATAGTGAAACACTGTCTCAAAACAAAAACAAAAACAGCTCTCCATTGTGTGATTCTGGTGACTCCGTTCCTCCTGATGTATAGTACTCACACCTACTTCCTTACTTTGCACTTAGGCTGCATATTTGCCAATTGTAAATCGTTGGCAATTGTAAATTGAAAGTTTCTTTATACCAAGTAATTGCAGAAACCAAATTATAAATATCTTCTCACATTTTTTTGCAGCAAAAAATATTCATATTGGGCTACAGGTGCATTTTAAAGCCCATGTCACCACGTGAGATAGTACCGTCCAGAGTACAGGGGGCGCTTGCAGGCCTGACAGAGATGTCAGGCGGGGCAGACTCAGGAGCAGAGCTGCTCCGCTCCCCAGCCCTGGCAGCTGCGGTACCCTGCCTGCCATCTCCATGGCAGCACTGATGTGACAACCCAGCTGTGGTGCCTCATTGCGGAAGCCACAAAAGGAAAGGGTGGCGGGGAGAGGGAGGAGGTTTCGGCCCAGCTGCTCTCTACTCAGAGTTAAAATGCAGAATGACTTGCATTTGGAAAAACTGTGTCATTTGGTTCAGGCCCTGAAGATTACCCTTCTTGCAGGTCTCACTTTACATTTTAAATGAAGAGCCACAATGTCTCCAGCAGTTAGTGTTCACGTAGCACTCAGCCTGTCCAGAGGAGGGCTTATTGAACAAACCCAAGGAAGACAGACTGGGCCCTCCCCTAGCCTGTTCCCTGGGGAAGGATTACTGCCACACATCATCCTAACAGCATCTGCTCAGGAAAATGGCCAGTTGACAAAGCTTGGCTCACAGAAATCTGGTGGGAAAATTACTAGCCATGGGGTATTTCTGATTTGGGTTATATACAGAAGCTTTTCTTATTGTATTCACAGAAATCAGATTCCAAGTGGTTGAAAAACATATTTAGCTCTGTGGTCATGTAGTTGTTATTTCGTTTGACTTAGTGTTGATAAATTAGAGTAAATTCTTTGCCCAGATGAGCTGAATAAATTCTGCCAGAGCTTATATCTTATTCTGGTTTCACATCAAGTCCTTAGTATGCAGCTCTGTCTCATTGGCAGTCCTAGTAGTGTGAGCCCTACAGAAAGCATGGCGTCCCCTCCACCTCTCCTGGGTTAGTCAGTGGAATTAAATCATTTAACATCCTCTGAGGGGAGCTCAAAGGTGCCATTAGGGACAATCTGCTCCTAGGGTGTTCATAAACCATCTGAGATGTCTGAGAGCTGCCCTCATTTTAATGGGTTTAACTTAACCACTACTGAATTATATCATTTAATCCTCTTTCCCTGCCCCCCCAGATCCTCAGAGCCCTGGGAGTTTTCAGAGTCTGCCCTGCCTGTAGGCATGCAATGTGAGTGTAAACTGAGGAAGGAGATGCAGACCCTTGGGAAGGCCATCTCACACTTCCCTCTCCTTGCACTCTGAGTGCCTAACAAGCTCTGGGGTAGAGGTGGGAGTCCTTAGGACAAGGGGCATCCTGAGCCTTGGTGTGTACTGAGTGGATGAATGAGAGTGTGCTTAGAGAACCAGCCAACTCATCTGGCATCTTTGTTCCCCTCAGGAGGACTGGAATGAAATCAACCCCATTAAGAAGAAAGACCTTCATCACAGCAATGGAGAAGAGAAAGCACAAAGCATGGAGACTCTCCCTCCAGGTACTACCAGGGGACAAGAAACCATTCCCTGTGACCATTCACTGAATGGACTCAACACAGTGCTTAGGGCAAGTGGTCCATGGGGTAGAGGATGGATTTCATAGGCCAGCTAGAGACACTGCCCCAGAGCACTGCTTAGCTGACTTCTGTCAGGCCCACAAGTGGGTGGTAAAATTAATAATGGGAGGTGAAAGAGAAAAATTTGGTGAAAGAGAAAATAGAATAAAATACAAAGTACAGGATGGTGTGTACTAATTTATAAAATTTCTTTTACAGTAGTATTAGGTTCACAGTAAAATTGGGGGGAAGGTACAGAGTTCTCTACTCCACACATACCTAGCCTCCCCCACCATCAACATCCCCCTTCCCCCCAACTATTCCATCATCTGGGTGCACCACAGTTTTTTGTTTGTTTGTTTGTTTTGTTTTTTTGTTTTTTTTTTTAGAGGAGTCTCACTTTATTGCCCTTGGTAGAGTGCTGTAGAGTCACAGCTCACAGCAAGCTCCAGCTCTTGGGTTTAGATCATTCTCTTGCCTTAGCCTCCCGAGTAGCTGGGACTATAGGCGTCTGCCACAACGCCCGGCTATTTTTTTTGTTACAGTTTGGCTGGGCTTGAAACCCCCACCCTTGGTATATGGGGCCGGTGCCCTACTCACTGAGCCACAGGCGCCGCCCTGCACCATAAATTAATCCATTCACCTAGTGAAGAGCATCTTGGTTGCTTCCAAGTTGTGGTAGTTATGAATAAAGATACTATAAACATCCTGTTTCTCACAGACAAGTTTCTGTGTGCATATACGTTTTCAGCTCATTTGGGTAAATACCAAGCAGCATGGTGCTGGGTCATATGGTAAGAGTATGTTGAGTTTTGTGAGAAGCTGCAAAATTGTCTTTCAAAGTGGCTGTACCATTTTGCATTCCCACCAGTAGTAAGTGAGAGTCCCTGATGCTCCATATCCTCACCAGCGTCTGGTGTAGTCAGCGTTTTGCATTTTGGCCGTTCCAGGATGTGTGTGGTGGTATCTCACTGCTGTTTTTAATTTTCAGTTCCCCAATAACACATGATGTTGAGCATCTTTTCATATGCTTATTTGGCATCTCTATATTGCATTTTCTTTGGTGAGACATTCAGGCCTTTTGCCCATTTTTAATTGGGTTGTTCATTTTCTTATTGTTGAGTTTCAAGAGTTGTTTATATATTTAGGATAATAGTCTTTTATCAAATATATTCTGTAAATATTTTCTTCCAGTTGCTGGCATTATCTTCTCACTCTGTTAACAGTTCTGCCTGGTGTGTTTTAATCCTTTTTTTTAGGCACACACACATTAAGGATTGGTTATATCTTCCTAGAGAACTGACTCTTTTATCATTATGCGATAACCTCTGTGTCACTGAAAACGTTCTTTGATCTGAAGTCTGCATGTCAGAAATTAAGATAGCTATTCTCACCTTCTCTCTTTTTTTTTTTTTTTTTTTTGAGACGGAGCCTCAAGCTATCCCCCTGGGTAGAGTGCCATGGCATCACGCTCACAGCAACCTCCAACTCCTAGGCTCAAGCAGGTCTCCTGCCTCAGCCTCTCAAGTAGCTGGGACTACAGGCGCCTGCCACAGCGCCTGGCCAATTTTTGGTTGCAACCATCATTGTTGTTTGGCGGGCCCGGGCTGGGGATTCGAACCCACCACCTTAGGTGTATGTGGCTGGCACCTTAGCCGCTTGAGCCACAGGCGCCGAGCCCTCACCTTCTCTTAATTAGTTTTAGCATGATACATCTTTCTCCATACTTGTAATTTTAATTTATGTGTCTTTTTTATATTTAAAATGAGTTTCTCATAGACAGCATATATAACTGGTCTTGTTTTTTGATCTACTCCGGCAATCTCAGTAGTTTAGTTAGTATATTAGACTATTGATATGTAAAGTATTTATTGACATATTGGGGATTAGTGTTTACCATATTTGTTATTTTCTATTTGTTCCTTTTTCTGTGTTTATACCTTTGTCTTCTATACTTTTTCTGCCTTTTATAGTTTTAATTGAGCATTTTATATTTATTTTCTCTCCTTTCTTAGCTTGTCTATTCTATTTCTTTTATTTTTTAACTCTTTTAGTGGTTGTCTTAGAGTTTGCAATATACATTTACAAAGCTTCTTTCTTTCTTTCTTTTTTTTTTTTTTTGACATAGAGTTTCACTATGTCACCCTCAGTAGAGTGCTGTGGCATCACAGCTCACACCAACTTCAAACTCTTGGGCTTAAGTGATTCTCTTGCCTCAGCCTCCCAAGTAACTGGGACTACAGGTGCCTGCCACAATGCCTGGCTATTTTTTGTTGCAGTTGTCATTGTTTAGCAGGCCTGGGCTGGGTTTGAACCTGCCACCCTTGGTGCATGTGGCTGGCACCATAACCACTGTACTACAGCACTGAGCCAACAAGGCTTCTTTCAAATAACATTATAGTGCTTCACAGGTAGTGCAAGTATCTTATAATGACAAAAATACAGTAGAACCTCTGTAAGTTGACCACCCAAGGGACTGTAACAAACTGGTCAGCATACAGAACTAGGCCTTTTGTATTGATATATACATGTGGTATGTGTCCTGTTTATGAAAATTAGGTCAACTGAAGGAGACAATCAATGTAGGGAAGTGGTTAGCTAGGGAGGGTCACTGTATCCCTGATTCCTCCTGTCATCCGTTACATCATTGCTGTCATTGATTACACTTAGACCTAAGCATAGAAGGATTCATAACCAAATATACTTTTGCTATTATTATTTTAAACAACCTCTTAATAAAATAACTAAGACCAAGAGTGGTTGGCATCTTTATTTTACTTTTCGCTTATTCTTTCTTTAGTGTGCAGCCTTCTTTTGTGAAGATCCAAGTTTCTGACCTACATCCTTTTCCTTCTTTCTAAAGAGCTTCTCATAACATTTCTTGCGAGGCAGGTCTACTGGAAATGAATTCCCTCAATTTTTGTTTGTCCAAGAAAGTTTTTATTTCTCCTTCACTTTTGAAGATAAGTTTTGCAAAGTACAGAGTCCTCGGTGGTGGTTTTCTTCTCACTGTGCTCTCCTCTTGCCTGCGTGGTTTCTGTGGAGCAGTTGGATGGAATTCTAATGTTTGCTCCTCTCTACGTAGCGTTTACCTTTCTCTGGCTTCTCTCGAGGCTGTGTGTTTGGTTTTATATAGTTTGAATATAATATGTTTTAAGTGTACTTCGGGGGGACATTTATACTGCATGGTGTTCTCTGAGCTTCCTGAACATGTGCTTTGGTTTCTGACTTAATTTGGGGAAATTCTTAATTGTTGTTTCCAATATTTCTTCTGTTTCTTTCCCTCTTTCTTTTCCTTTTGGTATTCCCACGATATGTAAGTTACAGTTCATTTGTATTTGCCCCCCAGTTCTTGGGTAGACTGTTGGATTTTTTAAAATCCTTTTTAAATCCTTTTCCTCTTTGCATGTCAGTCTCTATGGTTACATGCTCGGGCTCGGAGAGATTCTTGCCGAGCCATATCTAGTCTGCTAGTGAGCCCATCAGAGGCGTCCTTCATTCTCTGCAGTGTTTCCATCTCTAGCTTTTCCTTTCAATTCTTTCTTAGAATGTCCATTTCTCTGCTTAAATTATCTATCTATCCTTGCATCTGTCTGCTTTTCCCATTTGAGCCTTTAATGTATTATGCATAATCGTTCTGGATTCCTGACCAGACGTTCCTGCCATCTTTGAGACTGCCTCTGACTCATCAGACTGTGTTTTGCCTGTTAGTGTGCCTTGTAATTTCATGTTGAAACAGGGATATGACTGAAAGTATCTGGTAGACAGGCCTCTAGTCGTGAGATGGTCAGTTGTGGGGACAGGGAGAGTTTTCTGTAGACCTCTGATTAGGCCTTGCTCCTGTAGGGAGCTGGATCCCTGGGCTCTGACTTCACAGTATACCTCTGCTCCCCAGGAGACAGGCAGGGGAGGCTGGAGCAGAGTATCCCCCCCCCCCCCAGGTTGAACAGGTGCCAATAAAACCAGTAGTTTAGTCTCAAATTAAATAGTTCTCCTGAGGGCTGGCCTTGTTAATAAGAATGCTCTGGCTAATTTCAGAAAGGTTATTTTCCGTGGTGAAAGGTTACTTCCCCAGTGCTCTCTCTGATAGCCTCATAGAGCTCCTAGAGGCAAAATGCACACAATCTGGGGACCCTCCCATGACTGAGTCACCCTGGAGTTTTATTGCTTAGGTTTGTCCATAGGGAGCCTCCTGTAGTCTCCAGTTACAGTTTGGGTTTTTTTGCCCTCTAGGGAACCCATAGAGGTTTTACAGTGAGTTTCTGCCCCAGTAAACTGTGATTCTTTGATTCACCTTTCTGTTCCATTTGGGGGACACCAGCTTTTGTTTCTCTGACAGATCTAAGATACATCCCTAAGAGGAGTTGGTAATTACTTACGTTGTTCAGTTTTTCACTTTTGTGAGGACCGAGTTGATGACTCTAAGCATTTTACGTGCCAGCCACTAAACAGAAGTGTTTGTGAAGTGTTTGTCCATCCAGGGTCCTCACCGTGGCTGAGCAAGCATCACCCTGGGGAGTGCGAGCCCTTTGCCTGTGCCCTCCCCATTCATCATCCCAGCTGTCCCCAGAGGGAGAGGAGGCTGTGTGTTTGCAGGATGAGTATTAGGCCCGCCTCCCTGTCGCCCTTTCCCTTCCTGGGTGAGTCTTGAAGCACAGTGCTTTCATATGTAAAATAAGCATTACCCACGCAGTTGGGAGTATCTGAATGGAATATTTAGGTAATAAATATTCCTTTATTATAATAATAGGAAGCTGGGCTGTACTTCTATTGTGTGGAGTAATTGAGAGATTGCCTATGGATTGTCTTGTCTTAGGAAAAAGCCCGCGTTCTAATGGGTATTAAGGCATAATGGAGAGAGGGAGGGAGAAGCCCTACTATCCTAGATGGGCCATAAAGAGTCACAGTTTATTTAAAATCATCTCACTGTGTGCACTGACTCT